TTACAATAAAAGCATAATAGTTCGTGCCAATAGGTTCTCTCCCCCCCCCCCCCCCTTATGCTAGGGGTTTTCGGCCACAGATAGAATGTCTGAGCCCTATACAGCTTCGCTGCAAAAGGAAAACATAGTTCCTTAAATTTTGTAGTTCACCGTCGAACGCACTTTCTGACTCTTTCCTGGAAACAGCTCTCCATATCTGGGCAACCCAATAACAATAATATCACTACCGATAGTAAGTGTGGAAGCACTAGGACAATGCTCTTATTCCAGCATAGAGAGAGAGAAAGAGAGAAGGAGGTATTGGAGAAGGTTGATTTTATAGGGCTAGCTAAGTGATGTTGTGGTTACACCGAGCAGTGTAATTGATCATGAAGTTAAAGAACCATCTCTTTCTCCTTGAAGTCATCGTAGGAAAATGCATTTAGGGTAATGTGAGTCTTTAGCATTGATGCATTATGGTACATCACAATGTTTGTCTGCCATGTTGACTGATAACCACATTGATGCATTTAGAACATTACTTGATAAAGTACAACTTCATTGAAGCAGCATTCTGTTTACTTGCAACAAAAACAATCACTGACAAGTCATTCCAGAATGCTCAGCTGCATAATGCCCTTATTTTGTATCATCGAGTGAAAATACTAAGTGTTCCTAAGATGACTGACTCCATAATAACGTTGCGAGAAGGAGACCGACTCGGAGGTCTCCTTCTTCGATTAGCTCGCGCCAGTCTATCTGCTGGTTTATGACCGTCATCAGTAGGTGCCATGCTGTCGCTGAGAAGCGTAGCCGGGCAGCGGTCCACGCCTGGAACCCCAGTTCTCTCGGAACCAGCGTCCAGAGCTGACGGGGGGAGCGGCGCTATTTTAATCCTCAAACAAGTAGACCGACTGGCCGGCTGCCTATGCTGCTTGGTATTGTCCCTGCTAGCCGGAGGATGAGCCGTCGTGTCGCCACGACGCCGTAAGCCATTCCATAGAGGACAACAAAGACAGCGTCTTCCTTGGAAGAAACTGCGGGCGCCGCCACAAATTGCTGTGCTAACTGAGCGGACCAGATCGGCGGACCGTTTGATGTATGCTGTCAGGAGCTTGGGACCCCTCGACCAGCGGCACACACACGACGAGGAAGAGCCCCTCTGGCACCACCTTGCAGTGCAGTGATCATGACTCAATATTAGATGTTCACGTGGGCCGTGCATGCTCGTACTCCTCGCCGGTTGTGTGTGTGTGATTGGTGTTCCACTCAAGAAGGAGGAGCCTGACAGGGCTTATAACGACGCCGCAGAGGTGCGGGACGTTGCTCTGAAACATGTAACAGTTCAACCACCACGTTCGTGGTTTGTGAACTCCTAACCTTTCTATGCTGTAAATAAGTGTATATAGTCTCCATATAACCTGTTTGTTTTTCGTATCCCCATCTTGTCAGCGTTCGTTTCCTCAACCTGAAGCTACACCACGCTACCACAAGAGACCAGGCAGCCCCCGATCCGCAACATCTGGTGATCAGCGCTGGGATTCGAAGCAACCACAGGTGAACAGCACCGGCATCCACAACAACTGGTGGCAGCGGTGCGATACGACTCAGAACCGAGATCCGCAACACTGCGTTGTCTTCTTCAACACCATGCACTGGCATGTAGCATGACTCCCGGCAGCGAAGGCACCGTCCCAGTGCTTTAAGAGTAGTTATCTAACGTATTCTTGTAGGGCTTGATCCGCGAGATGTGTACAATATCACTGGACCGCATAGCAGATGATGATGGTAGATGGGGCTGATCTCGTAGGTGACAGGTGTAACTTGACGCAATATACGAAAGAGTCCCGTGTAATGAGACAGAAGTTTTTCTGATAGGCCCAGCCGACGATGAGGGTACCAGAGTAAAACGAGGGTACCAAGAGCGAAATGTACGTCTCTATGTTCCGCATCGTACCGACTTCATTGGTTGCTTTGCGACGCCATCAGCCGAGCGTGAGCGAGCTGAGAGGCATGATCGGCTCGCGCAATCGCGGCGGGGGCATACTCACTGGTGGACAAGGTGAGCTGAGATGACTGTGTCCGTGGTAAAGTCGGCTATCTTCCGTACAATCCTCTGAGCAGGGAGTCCGTCATTCGTTCGAAGGTGGCTGGAGCATTACAAAGGCCGAAGGGCATCACAATTGAACTGATATAGGCCATCGGGGGTGATGAATGCCGTCTTTTCACGGTCCATTTCATCTACTTCTATCTGCCTGTAGCCAGAACAAAGGTCTATGGAGGAAAAATAGTGGCACACATAGAGGCAATCAAGCGCATCATCTATTCGTGGCAGAGGGTACACGTCTTTTTTGGTAATTTTGTTGAGGTGTCGATAATCAATGCAGAAACGCCATGCACCGTCTTTCTTGCAGACTAGCACTACAGGAGAAGCCCAAGGACTGCAGGATGGCTCAATGATGTCCTTGGCGAGCATTTTGTCGACCTCACTTTGGATAATGTGACGCTCGGCCGCCGACACCCGATATGGACACTATGAATAGGATGCTCATTACCAGTGTTTGTGCGGTGGGTCATATCAGTAGCTTTCCCCAACATGACGGCCGCTGAGGTCAAAAACTTGATGTAGGACAACAGAACCCAGTGGAGCTCATCAGTCTGCTGCGGCGTTAAGCTGGAAGCGATCATCGGTGTAATAGCGCTGTTGGAGCAAGTAGCAGATTGATGTTGAGCGTGGGGGTCAGAAAGAGCGGCTATCGTGAAACATCTACCGCATTGTCTTCTAAGGTGCAGAGCAACAGCAAAGAGATCCCTTGTGGCAGCACTTGAGGTGTCAAGCTAAAGTTGACAACTGGGAGACATGTAGAATTTCCTGCGATGGACGGAATGGTGTGCGATAATGGAATACCGAGTCGACAACTCATTTTTCGCAGCTTCACGTCGACCAGAGGTGTTGCCAAAAAGCTCATGGATCTTTTCCTTGAAGCTGTCCCAGCTTGTTATGTCATGCTCGTGGTTGTCAAACCAAACAAGAGGGGTTCTGTCGGGATAAAAGATGACATTTGCGAGCATAAGTGGGATCCCACCTGTAAGTGGCGCTGACACGTTCGTAGAGGTGTAGCCACTGGTCGACGTTGCTACCCTCGCGTTCGAGAACACGCCATGGTCTTTGAGCACGGACAGCGTCACGAAAGTTGTTGCGGGCGCTGGGTTGACAGGAGGGCAGAAGGGCGGGCGACTGGAGAGGGTGTAGCCGAGTCTTGAGTGGTCATGTTGAAAGCCACGAGAGAGCGTCCGCTTCAAAGTTTCGTGGCAAGGACGGGGACCGCACAACTCCACCAAATATGTTACGGAAGGAGACCGACTCGGAGGGGTAGTCACTGATGTATTTACAGCCGGTTTAAGCGAGCTGTGCCAGCCACACATATTAGCTCGCTCCAGTCTATCTGCTTTGTCTTCTTCAACTCCATGCACTGGCTTGTAGCAATATGTTTAATGAATGAAAATAATTCTAATCCTTTCACAAGAGCTTCAAAATATTTTTTCATGTTCTTAAATGTGAATGCAACTATAGCTGCTCCTCTGTACTTTATGATGTGCGTTTACCTGTACCAGAGTGCTCCCAAATGCAAAATTACTTGCTTCAAAGTGCTCCATGCGGGACATTTTTCTGTGACAAAATTTGCTCCAAAATCAGAAGACCTTGGTAGGATCAGTGAAACAGGCATGTGAGTGATGACGATCATGTGCCAGTGTTTGTGGAATATGGTAGCATACATCAATCAGCAGTGGTGCTAATTTAGTGCTAGCACCCATTCAAAAGAAAAAAATGAATTGGCCTTTGGTGTTTTCTAGAGAGAACACAGAACTATGCAAGCTCGCTCATAAACCTATATATTGAAGCACTCAGCGCATTTCTATATAATGAGAAACACCACAGTTTGCAACACGTGTGCTGTTCCACTCATTGCCATAACAGCAGCTTTGCGTCTCATAATATATTTATACCTCTTGATGTTTATAAAATAAAGTACAGATGACTTCATAGCTTAAAGATTGCAGCTTTTAAGAAATATGTGTACTATTTGACGAGATTACCTCACATAGTGATCTCACTTTTCTCTCACATACTACTTAGCCCTCTGAGCAGAAGCCATGAAGTGCTTTTTTTAAAACTTCTGTGGCAATTTAAAGATATAGTTTCTGCCTAATGAAAAGCAACATAAATAAGTATTCAGAATAATTCATTGTCCTTTCCTTTTTGCTGAAATCTTGTGACACGTGCCGAATGATGTTGGTCCCTTTAGTATGTGTTGTCTCAAGTTATACTTGAACATTAATTCGCCTCTGTGTACTGCTCAGCAAGTTAATTGGTACCCATAACGATATGGTACAATGGGGCACACAATTAGGCATAAACTGGAAACACTTGTGTATAGTGTAGTTGGCCGAGCCCATTTGTCTGTAGCACTTTGGTATCAAATCATTACGCTTTGTAGTGTGATGTCACGAAGCTAAAATTTAGAGCGAAGCACGAATTTTTTATGTATTTATTAACTAATAGCCTCAAAGCACAAGAATGTGACAGAGTGCTGCTAATATAAGTAAAAAGTTTTACTGACACTTCGTTTAAATTTTTCTTTGCTTACTGACGGGGCTGAATTATCATACACGCTTTTTCTTTACTTAGATAGGAGTAAACATTCATGTTTTGTGTACTTTATCTGAGGATTTTGTTTCCATGGTGCTCTTTAGCTTTTAAGAATAGCCATACTAAAGTATGCTGAAATTAGTAATGTTGATATTGCTTTCGATGCATTAGGCAGCTGCATTTACAGTGTTTTTTGTAATATGGATTGCCACCTTTCTTAATTTCTTCTATTATGTTGAGCAGTGAGTATATTACCTAAGTTCCTCCATAGTAAAATGAGTACAGTACCGCTCTTGTGGGAAAGTGTTATAGTATTTCTTTAGACTGTTTTTCCGCAGCTTACACTGACTCTCTTGTTGTGTGTTTCCAGGGGCAAGTGGCTTTAATGAGTAGCTATGCTGCAGCTTGAAGCTTTCAAAGGAAACTGCATTACACTTCTGTTCAGCATTATTTCATTCCTATAACTTCAGTTACATTGCCTCAACATTCGAAGACTGACTGAATTATGTTAATAAATGTGTTTGAAAACATATTCTATACGCTGCAATAAATCTTGTAGATCTTATTGATTCTGCATAAGCATGCCGTGTTGAACAGAAGCTTGCATGTGATGATAATATCAAGATGTTTGGGACGCACATGCCAACATTGCTAAAAATTTTGTGAATGAGAGTGTTTTCCCAGCACTTCTCATTCTTGCTGCATGGAGTTGGTCTATTAGATATAGACCAGCAGACCCACTGCAGTCTTTCTCATTGCTGCTGTGCTATACATTATAGAAAGTATCAAGATGTGAGTTACTAATTGCTGTGTCATTAATATAATCACTACAGTAATCAGTGGGAATGGAGCCTCGCACTTGATGCTATCTGTAATGTATGCATGGGCAGTGAGCAAAATTACAGTGTGGCCGCAGGTGTGACACACCAACATGCAGAGAGGCTGCGAAGTGCACAGAAAATATTTTCATTTACTAAACGACAATGTCTATGTATGACTATACATGTCCACAGTGTCCTTGTACACCGTACGTACAACCTAACATGGTGGAGCTTTTTATAGTTGCAGGTACATGTAACATTGACAATTTGGATTTCTATGGATATCTAAGAGACGTTAGTAACTTCCACGAACAATTTAGCCTAAATGTATGCGCGCTATTTGTGTTTCACTAGGTATTCAGGGTCAACTAATTTGGAACTTTGCCCTTTCGATCAGAATGTTTGAACATTGTTATTAGTTAGTTAATATATCAGGCATTCAAGTTTGACATTTATATGAGACCAATTGGGGAACATTGCATCAGTGCTTTATAGAAAACTCCAGTTGGGCCTCATTACATGCCCATTGATATCTGTCACATCTCGTGCCCCTTTCAACAGATATGTATGAGGGGGTCAGGTTGATTACCTGATCAATCGATCATTTCATTATATTTATTGATATGAACTCCACACAGAGTGATTATTATGGTAATTCAAACAAATTACACAAATTAGATTTGCTGATATACCATGGTTTGAATTGAACACCACAGAACTTGGTAAGGCTAAGAAATTGGTAAAGATAATAACGCATCAAAATATATATTTACAATTACACAATAGCTTTCAAGATAAGATATTCTTGTACTGTAAAGATCTCTGAAATGTAGCATTGGTTTCATCTTTGCATTATAGACTGCTACAAAACTACCTGTTTGTTGTCAAGACCTGGTACATGTTACTAGGCCAAAATTGCCAGCATGGTGAGCATGATTTGCATTTAGTGAATGAATGTGGCATCCATGGAGCAATTTTCATTTTGTGTATTGTCCACAGGTAATCTTTATTAACGTGAAGTTCATGCAATTCAACAACATGGTTTCTGGTATCGTGATGGTGAAACATCTCAAAGCTTTCATCTCTAATGAGATTAACAAGTCGGACCCTTAGTGGCAATGTAATTGTAAGTGCCTAGAATATATTTTCTTTGCACAATAGAAATAAATTGCCCTGACCCAGAGTTGTTAGTTCCACTCGTAATGAGCGAATTTGGGCTTTCTTTTTCACCGAGTCCCTTGTAGAATTCTTCACTTGATTGTCGCATTTATTTAGAGTTACTTGCGCTTTCCAGCAAATATTATCATTTGAGTGATCATCAAATTAAATATTGCAATTGTCATATTATACATGCACTGGTAAACATACATTCCAAAATGAAGACAACGTGGCATTTCACGCCCCACTATAGTCAAATTTCTCAGACAGTACACATCTAATGAAAAGTAGCTCCATTATATTTTTCACTTGCTTCATCTCACTGGATTCCTGCATTACAGCAAAGCTGCTTTTTACGCTTTTCTACAGTCGCAAATGTACTGATTAAAAAAAAACAGCAGTTCCAACGTGGAGATGATAGATGTGGCAGAGATGGGCTCCATTAACACCGTTTTGGACCCGAAAATAAATTATAGAATTGCCGTGCCTAAGGTTCTCAATGCAGTGAGTCAACTAATGAATGTTCTGAGCTTCTCCTAGAGTTATTTGCTTTGAGCTCACACATCTTCAACCCTCTACATCTGGAGTATTTTGAAAAAGTTATATCATACATGATACTTTTAGTGCTTGATTGGATCGATGCATTGACCAAATGTTGAAAATGCACTTGGATGAATATATTCATTTCATTGACACACTTTTTTTAAATTTCAAAGACAATTAGCTTTACGACCCTATGATTGTCCGAAATGCAACTTCTGTGGCCTGCGGATTGTGATGAAATTGACTTTACGCATAATAACGCGTAATGTGTGTGTTTGTGTGTGTGTGCGTGTACGCACACACATGCACATGGGTGGGTCCCTCTCAACACAGGGTGGTGCAACTTTCCAGAGTACTTCACTTCGGTGTCCCTCACAATCATATTGCGGTTGAGGGACACAAAACCTAAAAAATCATTATAGATCTAGACACCGAAATTTTCTAATTGGTTTCTCAAAACACAATTGGTAATTTCCAACCTGTCTGGGTAACTTTGTTGGTCTGGGTTAGTGTTATATACTGGTACCCCAGATGTAGTTTACCACCAAACTAGACTTAAAACAGCGCAGCACATTAGCAAAAGTGACAAAAATGGGCTCAGCATGTTTTTTTCTGCCAAAACACATAAGGTTGACATGCCCTTCTGTGTCATTGTGACAGAAAGTGGTACGTGGCAAAAGCAACTCGGCTTGTTTATTCAGACCCATCTAATGTGTCTAAAAATTGATGACCCATTTTTGATCAAAAAATCGCAGGCTCTGATAGAATTTTTCAAACAGTCAAATCAATCTAATCTTTTCGGTTTTTCAATTGACATAAAGGACCTATACTACTCTCTGCCTCACGATGAGGTATTAGAATGTATAAGGGATAACATAGAAATTTTCGGGGAATCGAACTTCCAATTAAAAAACTGGCATTAGTTCGCGAAATTTTCTTGACCTGGTTTTGCTGTACCTTACGTCTACTTTCGTTCAATGGAATGATTGCATTTATCCGCAGAAAAAGGTGTTTCAATTGGTTCATGCATAGCACCTCTCCTCAGTGATGTTCTGATGGCGAAAATGGGCAAAAAACTGCACGAAAGTTAGAAGGCTCGCATTTCGTCAAATATTCAGTACGTGGATGATTTCGTTGTTCTTCTAAATTGTAATCTCTATGTTTCACTCGTTTGCGACTCAAACTATAGGTGTGTCGAAGATGTTTAAAGCATCTTGGTTGACACATGAAATGCCCAGATAATGACAAGTTACGCTTTTTGGATTTAAATTGGTTTTTAGTCACAGCACATTAGTGGTGTTATGAACCACATGCGCAGCGACGTCTATCCCTTTCTTCCGCTCACACTAAGATAGTTAAGCGAGGCATAGCACGAACCTGCCTGAGAATGCTTTAAATAGGTCGTGCGCCCACAAATCTCTGCGAGCTTCAAAGCTCAAGTTTCCGGCTTAAGGCTTCAGGTTTCCCCGAGGCTTGGATCGGTCTGTTGCTGAGACGACCTGCGGATAATAAGGCAGAACAGAGGAAGCGACAGAATTGCAGCAACCACGAATACGGAACGTGAAAGGGAGAGCCGTGATTCCACATACACCAGATATCACACAGGCTCACACAAAAAAAAATTGGAAAACGTGTTGGAGTTCGTGTCTGTTTCGGCACGTTAAAATTAATCAGCCTCACCAAATACTACAAACCCCTGAAAACGCAATCATCAACGGAAGCAGGTTCAACATCGAAAACGGTATGCGGCCTGCTCCAGCGGAAGTTGTCATAGGACCCCCCTTTCATGCGGTGCTTGTTATGTCGGAACGACCGGAAGGTGTCTGAAACGATCGGCTGAGCGAGAACACGCGAACAATATTAGAAACGGGAAGATGGTTTTCTTGATCAGCATGCATGACGTGCAAATTGTGTTCCCCTTCTCAAGGACACAGCGACGGCTTTTGGGGTCAATAGCTCAATTCTTTTGTTTGGAACAACGTAATCAATCCAGCAGTCGATTATGCTTAATTGTCTGTTAGATTCAACCTATTATAATGTGTTTTGTGTCATCGAGTGTATAAGTAGCACGAAGGAAGAAAGTAGATATGAAGCACAGTGTAGAATGACTGACAGTGGCAGCAGTGAGAATGAGAGGAGAAAGAGGAAAAGCAACAGCAGAAGCATGATAAAGGCGGCAGAGAACGAGAGCAGCGATCGAAGGAACACAGCTATTTAGTATTGCACGAGCGGAAGGAGGAGAAAGAAACAGATTAAAAGACAAAAAGGTTAGCACCATGGTGCATTTTGAGTGTTGCTCTGAACCCCTACCTTACTACATACCAACAACCAAATTATGGATGGCAACCACTTCTTCTTAAAGTCCATGGCCATTTCACCTGTCCATGAAAGCCAGTTTTCTTCCTTTAGTGCACTCTGAGGACCGAAGTACGAATTCGACTATACACAACCAAATTAATGAGAATTTGATATCATTAAACAGTGCATATGTGTGCTGGGACAAAAGTACTTGTCCGAATTATCTGATTTGCTGAATTGGCAAGTGTCAAATTAACGAGCTTTTACTGTAAAAGTAAGTGAAAAGGAGAATACTACAGTATTCTAAGCCTGAATTTATATAAGAAACAAAATTCTTTTATCTCCTCCAGAGCTGAGGATGGTCTAGGCAAGCATCTGTGAACCCTCTCTTTCAACCAAAGGCCATTAACTGCTCTCTTTTGGGGACACTGCAACGAAAATTTTTACAGAGAAGATAGGCAACACCTTCATTGCAGCTACAATTGTCACATTTATGATTGTCAGCCATTCCAATCAGAAACGAGTAGGCATTTCTGATGGCCTTTACAAGTGGAAGTTGTAGCTTGAGTTGCACACAGTTGCCAATTATAATGCAATGTGCCACACAACAGAATTTCCACGCCAGTAAATCATTCTTTTGAGCCAGTTCTCTCTGAAAGTTGAGTGACAAAACCA